TTTTTTTTTTTTTTTTTTTTTTTTTTTTTTTTTAAAGAAGCACTTTTCTTTTCTGTGTGTGCTGAAATGACTTCCTTTATGAGGAGAAAAGGGGAAGTGAGTGTGGTCTAATCAAAGAGATGAGGGTGAGATACAAGTCTGTGTGGTATTTCTGTGATGAGGGGGTGAAGGCAGCAGGTGATGTACGCCATCACACAATTCAGTGGTAAGCAGGTTGGGGACGTTCTGTGACAACCGCCCCAACTCCCCCCCCCACCCCGCCGATTTATTTTTTTAGGGGCTGTTGATTCACTCTGTCATTTGCAGGAACAGAGACGTCACCACCGAGTATTACACTGTAAGAAGGGGTGTCACAAAGCTATTTCAAAAAGGTTTTTTTTCTTGTTTGAAACGTTTCCACTTCACGATTTACTGTAGGTACGACTGTCTTAGTCAGTTCAAAACCAAAACTACGTATAACATAAAGGAATAATTAAAAAAAGACCAAAATAAACAGTTTCCTCAACAGCAGAAAAAGGACCGAAAGTTTGAGTCTGTGTGTGTGTGTGTGTGTGTGTGTGTGTGTGTGCGCGCATGTACAATACCAGGGCTGGGATTAAGGAGGCTTCATTATAGATGAAATAATTTCTCTGATCTTTTCCCCCAGAGTGGACCTGCTTCATAACAGTCACTTACAGTTACTGTGCCAGCCCCATACTGCCTGAGAGTAACCCCACACACACACACACACACACACACACACACACACACTCAGATCTGCCCATGCCCCTCCTGCTGGGCTCGAACTGTCACACCGGGGCCTCCAGCACGCAGCTGCGATGCAGCCTCTCCAGCGGCGTCTGCAGACGCTCGCGGCCCCAAGCCACTTCCTCGCTGAGTCAGCTCGAGGCGGCCGAGCGCGTCTCTTTACCGGCAGCCTGGAGCAGGCCCTGCCGACCACGTCACCCAGGGGTGCAGAGCAGAGGAAAGGCAGGCGGATATCTGTGTCCGCACTCTGCGCTCCGACAGCCGTGCTCATGTGTGCGGTTCTACATGTTTTTTAAGAAAACTCCCACACCGCTGTTTTTCGTTGTGAAAGCCGTTTCCGTATCCCACTTCACCTCAGTGACATCGAGAATGCCCCTGCCAACTGCACGGTGCCCACTGGAAACTTATGGCCGCAAAACCGCCATCGAGTGTTTTTCGCTAAGGAGCGTCAAGTCGCAGACGTCTGTCAACATCTCAAGATCTCACTTCCCAAAAGGTTTAATCTGTCTGCGCAGCGGACAAAATCCAGCAGTGAGGGGCTGAGTCAGATCACTGGGGAGCAGGACCTCAATACTCACCCTCCAGAAGTACTTCCTGTTCGCATCCTTGGGCACCGTCTCTGCAGTGTAGCACTGACCCACTAGGGGGCCAAAGCGAGTTCCCTTGGGGATGTACTCTTTGCTTTCAACTCCCATCACCTGAAGGAGGAGGAAAAAAAACCAGTAGGACATTAAATCACCGTCAGCATACTACCATGAACAGGCAAATCTCACTGCTGCGATAACCTACAGCTGTTCGTTTCAAAGCGAACATTCAGCTGAAAACTCATATTAAAAAGATACATGGTTCCCTCTTGGGTTCCAAAAGCCGAACTGATGAACTTTCCCACAGGACGGCTGCAATTTACCAAGACACTGCCTGACCATATTTGGGAAGGCTGGCCAGAGCGTGCCCTCATCCTCAGCCAAGTTTCTATTCAGACCAGCGCTCCCAAAGGAAGCCTTCCTCACTTCCTGTGCTCCCATTTACCCAGTGAAGACTGCCCACCCCAGCAGCAAAAGTGAACATCACTCATTCATCAAAGAATGGAAAACAATGCGGGGAAAAAAAAACCGGGGGCGGAAAAAACTGATTTCCCCAGAGGAAGTGCACTCAGATCCAGTAAGGAGAGGCCGGGAATGCATAGGAAAGTGCGGTAATTCAAAAGCCCGTATGGCGAGAAACACAGAAACCAGTTCTATGGCTTTGGGTGCCAAGTCTTCATTTGATGAATACTGCTGTTTAACTATGGTTCACTGACAATTCATCACTCCCCTCAGGTAAGGAGTTCAACAGCAACGGCACTTTGAACGATTCCTTTCTTGTCTGGTCGTTGATTCCAAATACATCCGAGGAGAGCAGCGGGAGGAAGGTAACAGGTTCCAGACCAGTGACTCTGGTCACTCTTTGAGGAGCAACTGAAGCTCCCTCTCCACAAGATGCTCCACTGGGTCCAGGTAAAGGCACCTGTGATCTTCAGAGCCACACTCAGCACCCCCTATCAATGAAGGCCATCTGAGGTCACAAGGTCAGAGACTCCACCTCCCAAAAACCTACTCATCTTCCATCTATGAAAGCCTCTGTGGTCCCTTACAGCATTTTACTGAATCACAATACAGATATACACAATACAGGACTATGTCCATTCTCTCTGGCAGGAATACTCATGATCAGAGAATACACACACACACACACACACAGATCTCTTCCGTCTCGCTGGTCCTGATCCTTTCTGTCCATGTGTCATTCCAGCATTTGCTCCGTAAGGCAGAAAAGCCTGGCAGGCAGAAGAGCAGAGGCCCCAGTGAAAACCCAAGTATGGGATTGGAAGAAAAAAAAAAAACAAACAGAATGTCTTTAGAAGGCAAATCAACACCTGAAATTACAGAGCGTTTTGGATCTCGGAGATAAAGGACTTCAAAGGGGGGGCTGGTGTTTTACGGAAAACACAGGGGCCTTTATCCGCCACCTCGGCAGCTTCTCTGCAGGGATTACGCACAGCCCGGTGGTCTAATCTGCAGACCCTTCCCTGCAACCCGCCTTCGACATCACATACGAGGATTTCCCTTGAAAGCCGTGAGGGAGTCCCCCTCATATCCCCTCAGATAACCTAAGCGGCGTAGCCCACGCATTTTCAGATCAGCGACTACTTCAGATAAATCATTAACAGGTCGAGCTGCTTCCATCACCGTTCTCCCATTGGCATCTATCTAACAGATGCTTTTGTCTGAAGCGGCGCACAGGCGAGCTAGATAGTACGTCACAAGGCAGATAATGCATCACAAGGCAGTCGGTGTGATACGCTGCCCTATTCTCCGTCGCCTTGCTGCCCCCCCCTATAGATGTGACACCTCAGTGTAATAACCACTCGCACTACCCCCCACCACAAGATAGTAGGGAAATGAATAATTCACAGGGAGCTGGTTGGGCCTCCGTTGGTAATCAGGCAAAAACAGTGGGGGCAAAGCTCCCCCCCCCCCCCCAAGCTCTCCCATCACGCACTAACCACACTCTGAAGTCTCTTGTTTCTTTTCCTACCGAGGCATATTAGGAGGCCGTGTTTTACGTTCCTGAAGGGGGCGATATACATCCTGAGTACGCCCATATGGGCGTGAAGGCTCACAGTTACCAGCTACCAGCAGACTCACACGCACAGCTGATAAACGTAATGAAGGATTTGATTTTCAGGCTAATTGAAATATAAAAAAAAAATAAATAACTAGATGGTCAGACATCCAAATTTGTCACCCCCCCCCCCCCCCCCCAAGCCAAAGCCTAACTTTTATCGCTTGCACCGACCTAGCCAAAGAACCTGGCACCCAAAACGCAAGTGAATCTTTTCAACATCCCCCCCCCCTCCCCCCAAGCCACCAGCTTCCCACCTAGACCTTCATCACAGCGACATTAGAAAGTTTGTCCCCGCAAAGGTACAGGAGACTAATGCCCGGCTCGCGGCGCTGGTTCTTACCCCAGGTGAAAGGCTCATTGTTCCTGGTGAGATATCCAACCCCACCCCAGAAAGAAAAAGTGAAAAAATATCCATCTAGACACAGAGCCCCCCCCGGCATTCCGAGGCTGGCTGCCAACCGCACAGGAACTGCCCCCCCAAGCAAACGACACGAGGCTCAGTATCCAGCAAATTGCGCCCGACTGAATGGATGAATCACAGGATGGAAGCTCCTCAGCTCCCAGTAATTCTACCCTCCCTCCCCAGCACACACACAGGTTCACGCCAAACGGGGCATCTTAGAAGCTCACCCTGACAGCTCCGTTGTTACTAAGGGGCACAATTTGCTGAATACGTCTCCCACAAGCATAGAACAGGATACACTGGAAGTGGACACTTGGCTGTTCGTATTTGAACCAGCTGACTGCAAAATATCTATGGTCATATTTTGGAGAGCGAGTGATTTTTTGTTCCCGTAAGTGAGAGACCTACCTCTGCGGAGCTTGCAGGATGTCTGAAGAGCAGGTTGCGTGGCAGCGAGGCCTCGGCCCGAGTCAGAGCGGTCCTGTCCGGACTCCCCTCCATGGGGCTGTCGTACACAATGTAGGTGCATTTTTCCTCAAACTCTGCCTCGGTCCACGTTGTCATATCCGCATCCTGGACGTCCGCCGCCGTGCTGACGCGATCGATGTTGGGAACACCCTCAGTGGTCCACATGGCTGAGTTATGCTGAGAAGCAGCCTGGAGTGGAATTGGAGTGGAGGAGGGGGTCTGTTAGGATTGTTAGGACACGGACACCTCTTACCCCAATTTCCAGTGCCGACGTGGTGGCATTTAAACCCAGATGAAGGGAAAATAAAATTTAATCCAGTGAACTTCAGAAGGCATGACAGAAAGTCCAAACAAATGCATCGTCCACAAAAACAGCACTGAAACTCACGCCGATTAAAAAAATATTTAAAAAGTGACTTCTCTTCATAATGCTGCAAACCCATGATCAAACCCCGTTGTCTGTCATGAAGGCAATGTGCGGAAAAGGACTGCGTAGAACAAGCCGGCCAACAAACATGAAAGCTCTGTGGGGGTCACGGCCGACAAGGGGCCCTGCTCTGGAGCGCAGAGAGAGAGAGAGAGATAGAGAGAGAGAGAGAGCGTGCCACAAACAGGGGAAGGAAGTTCCGTCTGGGACTGAATGAATGGAGCTAAAATGGGCCGTGGCGTAGCAGGCGAGCGGAACCGGCAGGCTGACCCAGAAGCAAGGG